TCTTTAATCAAGTTAATAAACAAAATAATAATGTTAAACACCTCAGCATCAAATGTTTACTGTTGTCATACAAGCAAATTAAAACAGGCCTTGCTTTGTGTATTTTTAAAATATAGGTGTAGTGGTCACCCCAAGGGGGAATAAACATTTCTACCTGTCTTTGACCCTGGTCTCAGAAGACCTCCCTCAAAAGAGACATTTTATTTTCTTTAATCAAGTTAATAAACAAAATAATAATGTTCTTCAGATTTTTGATTTATGTTTTATTTCAACTAAGTGTTACTGTACATTTACATAATGAAAAGAATGACAAACTATCTCCTTGCATTATAATTTAGAAAAGAAAAAACACACAAAAAGAATATTGTTCCAATGTTTCTTTGTTTTATGCAAATCCTTGTTTTAATCAACTGTTATTTGACAGTTATGTGATTTTGTGTTTTTCTGTTTTATTTTTCCTTTAACTAAATTGATCACTATGATTTATTTCACTATGTTTTTTTTTACGAAATATTTATGGTTATCTGAGCTTGAATCTTAGACAAATGTCTTAAGTTTTATTTTAGTTTAAATAATTCACTTTATTAAAACCTAGTTCCTTGTCATTTAGTATTAGTCCTACCAAAGAACTGAGAACAGCATGGCCTGACCTTGGTTCTTTGTGTTAATGTGCAGACATTCACCATTTTTGTTTACCAGACCAACGGCAATGGCAAGTTCTTAGACTAAACTTCTGATTCACCTGTTGACTAATCCAAAAGTCGAGGGCACGYCCTTAATCTTTTTCTCTGTAGAAACTAACCCGGGACAAGCCGCTCGACAGTCAGACACCATCTTCGTCCAACGAAGAGAAGGTGTTTTTCCCTCCCCAGGAAAATCAGCATTYGGCAATGAGATTTGACCTCAAGTGCWAATGAGCAAATCTTYTGCCACAKATTCACGATAACATTAATYGTGACCAAAACATCCAGCTTTGAAGCTCCATTCATTTTTGAAAAACTTTTATTTAGAAGTCTTTTATTTTGAAAAGAGAACAGAATTGGATTTGACTCTCTCATCGGACCTGAGGCAGATTTCCGGAGACGCTGAAAAATCAAAACACTGGAAGTTTTACTGGAAGTAAGGAACCTGACCAGAGTTTCTTGCTGACCTGGGTGAATACTTGCTAAACGCTTGACCCTGACGGTCAAGACACCTCCAGGTAGAAACTGAAAGTTTTGATAAGCGTATCGGTGTCCGGCTGATGCGACCGAGATACGCAAGTGTTCGTTCTGGTTTTCTCACATATTGATAAGATAAACAGTTAGGGCTAACATCTTCCTTTCCTTCYATTTCTTGACCGTTGCATTGCCATCTACATTTAATGTACCGGCAAACATCTGATTTATTAAGACCTAAAACCTAAAGTTCTGCTGTTTCTGTTAAAGGCACAGTGTGTAGGATTTGTTGTTTTCAGCGACATCTAGTGGTTGAGTGGTTGAATCATCCTCTCTGGTCCTCCCCCCACCCCCACCCCCCGCTTCCAAACGCAAAGGACTTGCTACGGTGTCTCTCAGGTGTCAAAAAC